AGACATAATTTTGGAGCCTGTATTTGTCTATGAAATGTTTCTAAGTTTTGTAGAGGATTTTTCTGTAAAGAAATTGCTAAAATTATTTCATCTGTTTGTAAATGGGACGTTGTTGCTTTGACGATGGGCTACGGACGACTGACGTCGAAACGTTCCATTCAGATCGGACGGCGCCCTCTCGTGCCCATCCCCCCTGTCGGCTGGGACAGCGCTTCCGGTGACGACACAACGAAGTACTCGGAATTGCGCACGCGCAAACAATCAGTAATGACGTATGATGGTTTAACAAACGGAGCTTAGGGTACGTACAATAAACACTTGATGATGTTGATTCAGTGCTTTTAGCGAGCTTATAAAGCATACAGAAGGGCCCGATACCAAATAATTGAACTAGTTTCAGCTAATAGAACGGAAATAATTGCTATTCATGTAGAACACGTTTGCAATACAAAAAACTAGGTCGTTACAGCTAGTGTATCTTTAATGCATTAACGCATCATTATTGTTATTACTTTTTAACAATGGTTTCTTCTACCTTTATTATTGCTGTTAGTGGGATTTATTACTATTCATGTTTTTTTTTAAGTTTTTTTGTTTTTTGTTTTATTTCGATTATTATTATTATTATTTTTTAACCATTACTTTAGTCTTAATGTTTTGTATTATTAGTCTAGTTTTGTTTAGTGTAAATGTAACCATTTTAATTCCTCCTGGGGAATTTTACGTGTTTAATAAAGTATAATATATAGTAAAATGGGTGTGTCTACATTAAAATTTGCATATACATTAGCGCGTAACAAAGTTGTGATGAAGAAAAGAGTGGTATAAACAAGCATCAGTGATTACTTGAAATCGATACCATATAACATATTATTATTTAATAATCTATTAAAATACATAAGTTTCCCCCTATATTCGCATCCCCCATCCTTTCAGAAATTTATTCCTGATGATCCGAGACCAATTAAAGAATGTCTTTCCCAATCATCCAATCTCCACGTTCGTCTTTCCTCTGATACATTGTGACAGTACGTACAAAAACGCTATTATCCTGCTGGATTTTCCCGTATTGTATGCGTTATACTGTAAAACACGTCGGGAATGTCGCGAGAATGTCTTTTTAGCGAATTTAGCAAGAGAACTGATTCATTAATTCAAGATGTCGCTAATGAGTCAGACTTTATTATAAATTCAAAATGGCCACGGCTTAGAGATTTGTATACAGTAATCCGGAACATAAAAATCTGGGGCGCTTCCTAATTACACTTAACAGTTTTTCTTTGTTTTTATGGAGGTGATAACTGCGAATTTGTTTTGAGGCGCAACAGACAAGTATTGTGAAAACAGGAAATCAACAATGACAAGAGAATATTTGGAGAGGGCGTCTCGCTTTAGGTAAACATGGAAGGTACTAACCATGGTTAGACTCATTTCGTGCTAACACGTTAAATCCTGCCCTCTAGTGACGAGAAACTTGTATGACGTAAATTGACGACACGGATGTCTTTCAAAGAGTTTTTAAAGAGCGGTATTCGTCGCGACGAACACTGCCCTTTAATGTATAACAGATTACACAGTAAAATTTAAAAAAAATTCAGTGTCGATTTAAATGACACTGTCTGCACCCGAGTACGTCATCTTGACCTCACAGTAGCGCCTCGTCACGTGATTTATAAGAATTGTTCTATTTCAACTTGAACTAAACAATTTGTCGAAAAAGAAAACGTTATATAATACTATATAATATAATTGTCGGTTGTGCTGGTATGTACCGTTCAAAATAACCACTACCGCCACCACCACCATCATGTACTATAATAATAGTAATTAATGTCCGTGAACTTTCTCGTGGTGACATTAATGTGCTAAGCTCGCCGTGTCAGGAAGATTTGCCGCACGTTGTTGCGAGTATTCTCGGGAACCTATGTCAAGGATATTCGCCTTCTTTGAGATGTGGTGTATGAAAGATTGTAGTTCTATTTGATTTATATTTACAAGCGTACTGTGTTCAGGATATTGTCTAGAACTATGGGAGAAAATAACGAGACAACGCCACTCAATACGTCAGATGTAAGTATCGGTATCATTTCTATCAACCTATTTACATTGTAGTTTTTTCACTATCATCGCGCGTCGAAGACTAGTAATTTAAAGCGCGGTGGTCGTCGCGCAGCGCGTGTTTGAATTTCATGTAAATAAACAATGTATTTTACACGCGTTGTATACGTCGCTATGAGTTCCATATTGAACAGGACGACTGCCGCCCTTTAAGTTTAATCATGGTGTATGGTTACAATAGCATGTACAAATTGTTAGTCATTAATCACTATTATTATTTTTATCAAACTTTTCCTGTTTTGCCCAACGAAAGTCTACTACATCCTTAAATAGAAAACAACTCTACGTATGAGCACATTATTTAACAAGGTCATTATGTTATTACTTGTTTTGACCTTTACACGTCTTCTTTCTGACTTACATATTTGTTCATTCAATATGATTGAAATCCGATGTAGGTATTTTCTTCATTTTAATGTGTTTTTTAATTACCATGTTGTTTTTACCATTATTTTTTTTTATATATCTATCATCTTTATTTTGGGGGACGTTTTATTTTTCGTTTTTATATATCGTATCACGGTCGCCTTAATAATAAATAAAATAAAATATGGAAAAAAAAAAATAAAAAATGAAACCTATAACGACGTAATATTCTATTCAGATTGTATACTGTTATATCTAATAGCATAGCAAGCTGACTGCCTATAAATAACCCGTATGACCAGTATGATACGGGTATGGTCTAGACAATAGGAATAAATTGATTGTCAATATCAGTGGAACAGATTATAAATGCTGTCTGACCTTACCCGAATAGTCTCTGTAGTACCAAATCCAGACTCACTTGGAACTGCGACAAATATTATACTAGTATTACACTGATTCTGTAAACCGCGCCCTCTAGTGGCGAAGTACGGCGCTGGCAGTGACGTCATTACCGTTTTGATCTGTGGTCCGACGTCAATAGGAAATATTGTTTTTTAATGATTTTACACATTTTAAACGACGATTGACTACTGACATCGTCGGTTGCCTGTTTTATTTTAGAAACTATAATGTTAACACGGAAACGCTGGCGTGTCGTTATTCATTAGACAGCGCAATTAAACATACTTTTCATCCCAGCCACGCCGTGAACTGATTAGAGTAAACGTGCCAAGGCTAAAGTAAAGGCTGAAGTAAAATGTGATCCGTTTGAATATAATTATCCCTCTGTTCAGAAATATTCTTTATTCTCAACAAACAGTCCACGCGCACTGGAAATGTTTCATATAATTATATAGACATTTGAGACCAGTCCTATTTTTTAGCAATTCCCACCTTAAATAAGTCGCATAGTAATCCAACAATACTAATATATATATATATATATAAGTGTGATCTCAGAACGAAAATTTAATGTAAAATAATTACCCCTAACTAAAGGAATATGCATGACTATTATAATATCATGACTATATATTATACTATCAGGGGGGAATTCTTCTCTCTGGGGTTCTCCACACGTGCCAGGGGGGAATCTCGTCTCGTCTCTATATCTCGTCCCCTCGAGGTGCGGGATCGGGAAAGTCACTTAAGCTTTACAGTCAAATAAGACACACACAACGAAATACGTTTCAGCCCTCGTCTTAGTCGGTCAATCGAGCACTCTATCAGACACAGCGCCCTGGGGAAAAATCCCCAAGACTATCGAAAGGCTGACCCAAGACTATCTTAGACTGCGTCAACACTCGCCCCAAGGCTCTCCAGGACTGGGTCTGTTCTGCTGTACTCCCCAAGACCAACTAAAAACAACTTTATTCATTTTCAAAACTCTAACCAATTACAAAACAGTAAAAAGACTCTAGGGCGTAACCTTCAATCATAAAGCCAATCACACTAAGTACTGAATACGTCATATCTTTTGATTAATCGTTCACTACATTAATAACTACGGATACCAACTGTCAGGATAGCGACGGTTATCTCATTTTTAGTTCCAAATCACTGAGTCGAGTTCCTATCAGGGGGAAATTCTTCTCCACGGGGTTCTCCACACTTGCCAGGGGGGAATCTCGTCTCGTCTCTATATCTCGTCCCCTCGAGGTGCGGGATCGGGAAAGTCACCTATACTTTACAGTCAAATAAGACACGCACAACGAAATACGTTTCAGCTCTCGTCTTAGTCGGTCAATCGAGCACTCTACCAGACACAGCGCCCTGGGGAAAAGTCCCCAAGACTCTCACAAGGCTGAACCAAGACTCGCCCAAGACTGGACTGCCTCAAGGCTCGCCCCTGGACTCGACTCTCGACTGCGTCTGTCGTGGAGTATTCGCCAAGACCAACTCAAACTCTCTTTATTCATTTTCAAAACTCTAACCAATTACAAAACAGTAAAAGACTCTAGGGCGTAACCTTCAATCATAAAGCCAATCACACTAAGTACTGAATACGTCATATCTTTTGATTAATCGTTCACTACATTAATAACTATGGATACCAACTGTCAGAATCGCGACGGTTATCTGGTAATTAGTTCCAAATCACTGAGCCAAGTTCCGTCCAAAACTTCAAATAGGCCTAAACGATGACAGACATAACACAGCAATTCAGCTAATAATCAACTAATTAAGTCGGTCAACAGATACGCGAAAACAAATTCATGACATTCCGTCCAAAACTTCAAATAGGCCTAAACGATGACAGACATAACACAGCAATTCGCTAATAATCAACCAACAGATACGCGAAAACAAATTCATGACAATACTATCATACCCATATAGACTGACTGTTGACAATTAGAGCATATCTCTGTGGCCACGCATGTTAAAACTAATGTACATGTTGTGGCATGTCACTTGCGCAATATTTCTAGCCGTGCTAATATAGGTACAGGCAAATTACGAACATATACACTCGCATTACAAGATTTAAACTGCCGAGCACGGCAATTAAAGGTGTTACAGACGTATTTATCGGGATCTGTCTTTAAAGGGCGGTG